GTATGATTTCACTTCTTCTCCCTTTTCTCACTTCTAAGGTAATCGACATCTCCCTACTTTTCTAGGGTATCATTTTATTTTTTCAACGATTCCTTTTTCTTCTTCTTTTTTTTTTCTTTTCTGGTTTTTTTTTATAACTCTTTTTATTCGGGTATCCATGAGATCCGAAGTATGCACGGGTTTACGCGACATCCCTCATATCACTTCTACCTATAGCCTTTTCCACATTTTCTTTTAAAGGCTGAAGGGAAGAGAGAAGGAAGGAATCATACTTTGAAAAAGTGCAGTGTCTTGTGCGGCTCGAAGAAGAATTCTAGTCCAATGTATTCCAACTCCCAAGGTAAGAGATTATGTCCAATTAAGTCCTGATAAAAGTAGAGACAGCGTTAGATCAACTGGATATCCAATGAATAAGGGCTTTCAGGCTTGTTGATACAGCTCATAGTCATTCCAAACTTCGGTTCTGAGATCAAGCATAATCAAGAGTAATAAGAGTGTTAATCCAAATCAGAAAAACCGTTAGACTGAGTTCATAGTTCCCAACAAAAATTTTGACTCAATAAAACACAAAAAATAAAAATAAAAATTTGGACTGACTCGATAAAACTCCAAAAGAATAAACAGTGTTAGTAACTACCTCCCCCATACTTAAACAACAAGGCTAAGATTGGCAAATAAAAGAAAATAAAACTAAAATAAATGCAAAAGAAATAGAAAAAAAAAGAAAAAAAAAAAAAAAACTCACAAGTGGGTTGCCTCCCACTAAGCGCTTGTTTTTTTCAGTCATTAGCTTGACTTTGTCGGGGTTCATGCATCTGATATATCATGGTTGGTCAAAAAGCGGCACTAAATGCCTTCGAGAATAGTGTCTCATCATCCAAGGTGGTTTATAAGCATTAGGTGTAGGAGATCGACCAAGTACACGAGGAACAGCAGCAGGGCATAGTCTGGGTATGGATGGGACACTTCTTCTACCTGCAACATCATCAAAAGAACCAACAAGTGCTCTACGATAATCTCGTGGCTTGGTTAACTCTAAAACAGTCTTTGTACCTTTGAAAGTCTTATTGATGATATGAGAAGGTTTGGGTAAAGAAGTTGCGTACCTTTGCTTTTCTCGAGGTCTCTGGAGTATGGGTGGTGAAGCTTTCCGATTCAGAACAGGGCTCAAGCTTGCAGTAGTAAGATCAACCCGAAAACCATCCATTTTTGGCAAGTTCGGACTGTCGTGGCGAGGGGTGTCGATCGACACCTTGGTGGTGTCGCTCGACACTGAGCCTGATGCTTGTGTTTCAGCACTTTTTCTGCAATTTGTCTCAGCGATCCTCATCTCTAGCACAAAAACATCATCTTCCAATAACTTAGCAGTAGCTAGACCCTCGCTCTGGTCCCTAGCAGTAATATCTTCTGAATACTCTATGACTGCCACGTCATCCATGGCTTCCTCTAGAGAAAAAGTCTGGCCATCAATAGTAGGTGCTCTCCTTAACTTGTCCATGTCAAAGTTCATAACTAAGTCACCCACATGCAGTCCAATCGTTCCTTTCTGAACATCTATAAGAGCACCAGCGCTAGCCAAGAAAGATCTCCCAAAGATAATAGGATCCTTAGGTTCTTTAGCATACTCAAGAACAACAAAATCAGCAGGAATCATGCATTCACCAACTCTTATCAAAACATCCTCTAAAATAACTTTGGGAATCCTTTTCGATCTATCAGCTAAGATAAGAGAGATCCTAGTCGGCTTGAAATCTGTCATCCCAAGTCTCACAGCAACAGAGTATGGTATCAAGTTGATACCAGAGCCAAGATCACAAAGAGAGTGAGGAAATCTTTCTGTGAAGATAGAGCAGTCTAGCACGAAACTTCCTGGATCAGGTAACTTCTCCGGAATCCTGCTCTGATTCATGGCACTAACTTTTTTAGAAACAAACATTTTCTTCTTCTTTTCTTTCTGACTCTGCAGGGTCTGTTTCAAGAAGATAGCAGCCATGTCTCTAGCCAGCAAAGCTCCTTCCTCAGGGCTCACTTCATTTTGGACCATCCTCTTAACACACCGCTTAAGCATAGGTGAATCACGATCTGCATGATCTAGAGGTATCTCAGTAACCACCTTTTCCATCATTGCCTTGCATCGAGCTTCTTCTATCTCCTGTTTAGACTTCCTAGGCTTTGGAAAAGGAACCTTAGGCTTGTAGATCTTTTCTGTAGATGGTCGCGGAGTTTCGGGAAAATCCGGTTGTGTCTGTGAGGGGTATCGATCGACACTGGGAAGGTGTCGCTCGACATAGTGATCTGGAGTCGATAAGGTGGTCTCGATCGCGGTCGATATTGGTCCGTCGGGAGCCGAATCCACGAGAACTGGTGTTAGTGTCGATCGACACCGTGAGATGGTGTCGAGCGACACTTGCTGTGCAAGTGCAGTTTCATCATATTCACTTGTTTCCTCCTCCCACAGATTAT